CGGAGGGCCGCCAGCGTCAGTCCGCCGCGCGAGCCCGCCGCCGCTCCGCGCCGCCGCCGAGTCGCACAGTGGCTCCGCGCCCCGCCCCGCGCCGCCCCCGCCCCCGCGCCATGGAGCACTTCATCGAGACGGTGCGCAAGTACCCCTGCCTGTGGAACACCACGGCGATCGAGTACCGCGACCAGGAGCTGAAGGACGCCGCGTGGGCCGAGGTGATGAAGGAGACGGACCTCTCGTCGGGTGAGTCGCTCGGCCGGCGAGGGCGCGCCGCCGCCCCCTCCCGCCCGGCGCGGGCGCACACGCCGCTCGCCATACGCGATATTGCTTAGCAAAATTTTGTAATACCTTACCCAAACTATAAATAATCTCGACTCGCAACGTACCTTACGTAGCTCCCTTGCGGGTCGGCGAGTTCGGCTTCGAGGCGCAAAAAGCGTGCGCGCGTGGCGCAGGAGGGTCCGACCTGTCAATTACGAACCGCCGCGCGGGCTCCGGGGCTTCCGAACGACTCGTGACCGGATTCTCTGATCTCCGTTGTTGCAGCGAAGGAGGTGAAGTTGAAATGGAAAAAGCTGCGCGACAGCTACCGCGACGCGCTCAAGCGGCAGAGCGAGATGCTGGCTAAGGAGCCGGGCAACCCCGCCAAGAAGAACTACCCGTGGAAGTACATGGGGCTCATGCAGTTCCTGCAGCCGCACATGAGCGTGCGCAAGAAGCCGGCGGCGGGCGGCGGGCCGTCGGCGCCGGCGGGGCTGCCGCCGCCCGCCAACGGCGACGCGGCTTCCAGCGACGAGTCCTCGTCCGAGCCCGACTCCACGCCGCGCACCAGCGCCGAGCGCCTGTCCGTCATCGACCGCAAGCTGGACTTCCTGTGCAAGGCGCAGGCCCGGGCGCCCGCCGCCCGCCGGCCCGGCGCCGACGAGCGCAAGCGCGCGAGCCCCGACCCGCTGGACGTGTTCTTCGACGGCATGTGCCAGTCCACCAAGCGCCTGCCGTTCCCCGCGCAGATCCGCATCCGGAAGACGCTGTTCGGCGCCGTCATCGAGGCGGAGGAGGCGCTGGTGGCCGAGCAGCAGAGCTACGCGGCGCTGTGGGCGCGCGGCGCGGGCTCGTCCAGCAGCGAGCCGCCCGCCGACGGCGACGACCGCAAGCCCTCCTGAGCCGCGCCGCCGCGCCGCAGTCGCGCGCCCTCCGCCCCGCCCGCCGGCTCCTCCGGCGGCTCCTCCTCCAGCGACGACGACTCGGCCTGAGGACGGCGCCGGCGACGCCCGGTGGCCGGTGTTTCGCACCGAATCAAGCGCGGGTTCACAGCGATAACGCGCGCTATAATTACATGGGCACATGTATTTTAGCTCAGAGACGCGTTGTTTATAGTATTATGCTACTGAGCAGGGTAATTTGCATGATGTTAATAAAATTTAAATGATGGAACTTGAGTTCCATTGACGTGTAGCGACTTTTCGGACGCACTCACCGATGAGTGCACAGTGTACCAAAATTTTATCGAACCGTTTTAATATTCGAAACGCAGGATGAAAACTCCCTAGTGCCAATTTTGTATGATTTTGGAAAAAACTTACACTCTAAAGTACCACAATTTCTTTTTAAGTACAAAAATTAATATAGCTCAAAAAAACGAAATATTTTTTGTGTGAATCCTTCAGAAATTTAAAAAAATATTTATGGTACTTTGATGCTTTTCTGTAACACGCCCGTAAGTTAGAAAACCGAAATTTTCTTAAAACAAATATAACTTTTTCCTTAGTTATTTCGCGTTATTTGATAGGATCCACGTAGGACCTGAAGACCATTTGCTAAGTTCATTTGAAACGTAGGATTTTACAAGATTTCGAAACACTGCGCTGTGTGATAAATACCAAGTTATTAGATTATTTTTTTACTGTAATAAAAAATAAATTAGATCGCTCGCTCCGTGCAGCCAAATTTGTCGTGGAAATTGTCATTAGGTACATACATCATACACCTCATGGATGAATGACATGAGTGAAGTTACATCAAAAACGTGGGGTGCGAGTCATGTACCCAGTTTACTACAAGTTTAGGTAGGTACTTAATTCGGGTATTGTACAGTGTCAAGAGCACGTCCAAACACGTCAATTTTGACAAGTGCCAAGTTTCACTGTGTTCTTGACGAATGTGAAGTGTCATCGCGAGTACTGTGCAAACTTATTATGCGTTACTCGTAGTTTTAAAGTTTGTAACAAATTTTGTCACTATCAGCAAGATTCTAAAAAAAAACCCTGAAAAGGCTTTAGAGGAAAGGAGAATGCCACATTAACTCGCGCCCTTTTATTAATATAACAATCTAATCAGTACTTTTTCAAAACTTGTTTGTATTTCGTAGCGTTCCAAAATGTACATATAATAAAGAAAGTCGGGCAGTATAGCCGGGTCTTCACTTTACGAGTGGTGCACTCGTAGCGTGTAAACATGATCGCACCCCTCATTAAAGAATGGAATAAGTGGAGTTACGTCAAAAATGTTTATTGCTCTATTAGATACAAAAAAAAATATAACTCAGAATTGGAAAGTGGGTACTTTCCAATTCTTGTAACTCTATCGCCAATATTAGTCGGAAGAATTGAAGGGGACAAAATTAGTAAAAATTTTTGACGTAAGGAGTGCGATTGTAATTCGAGCGCCATCGGGCATCGGCATCCAATCACTATACGCTACGAGTACCGTCCGAGTAGATATCCGAGTGGACTCGGTACGAGCGTACTCATTCTAATTATAAGCAGTTGATAAGTAGGTAAGTAAAGGTACATTATCGACTAGGTTTGCTAGTTTTTGTTAGGAAACTGATATTATCGAATTTGTAAAATGTTATTAAAATTTGATTTGTTATAGGTAGACCAACATTCTTACATTGGTTAAAAAGAACCGAGATCATTATCTTTGTGATTATTCTATTCAATACGATGTCAGGAAATATAAATGATGTTAAATAAAAAACAAACCACTATTGAACAATGTATTTTTATTATTACCATTGCGTGATGTTTTAGCAATGTTTGTAACATCTGAGTTCTAAAATAGGTTCTTTACCTCTCACCAACAGATTTATGTAATTATGTTGTCTAAGTACTTTTTAGAAGACGACTGTGCTACTAAATCCATAAACATTACTGAGACTCGGAGGTACTTCCAAAAGTGTGTGATAACTTGTATGCACTTCAATATGGGAAGTTAGTAAGACGTTATAGATACGTGGTTCCCAGTTTGTTGGTACAAGGCCCAAATACGAAGTACCTAGGCCGCCCGACTGTCTGTGCGGCTAGATACGTGCACGAGTAGCGCACTGGTGAGGCACTGGCACTGAGGCACTGGTGATCTTTATCTTTGTATTTGCGTTGTTTTCTCGTACGAGGAATGTATGTGTCCGACTTATTTTGTCGGCGTTGATGACCAAGCCTACGTCATGATGCCATTCACAAATGTTATTGAAGTTTTTTTAAAACACCAGGTGACTGGACGAATAAGTCGTGCGCCTGGTGGTAAGCGATACGCCTATCCATAACAGTTGCAGTGCCACTCAGAGCTTTAAATAGCAAAGACCTGTGGAGCATTGCCACCGAATTCGTCACCCCGAGACGTAAAGTTGATAAGCACCATTTGTCTGTAATTTCACCAGCATCCTTACTCTTCAAAACTGGAACACAGTAATGCTCACATTAAAACTTGGCGACAGAAATAAGTAAGGTGGCAGTACTACCCCTGGACGACCTCTTTCACAAGGAGCTCTACTGCTACTAAAAAACTTATGCTGCATTGTCTTTTGTGTCTCGATTACCATCGATTTATTATTAGTTATCAGGTGAATCGGAATAAGCAGCGTATATACATACCTTAAACTTATGTATGTAACATACATAGAGTGGGTAGTACCTCCCTCCGAAATCCCGGATATATTGCGTTATATTTTGGTTTATTATATTAGGTTTTACCGTACACCGCCACTCGTCATCTAGTACAAGTGTCATTACATTTAACATTAAGTTGTAGTTACAAAGTAATCGAAAGTATCACCTCAGCAAACACCGTTACGTAAAGTAAAGGTACAATTATAGCATTCAATTCTATCTACCTGCCCTGACCGATCGACACGCCGCCGCCGAGAGATCGCGAAGTGCCTATTTTATGTTATGTGCTAAATTGTGCAGACACACGGGCGAATTTCTTACACACGCATAACATATAATGTATATACACACAAAATTTGTGTATATAAATTATAATTATGTATGATGTTCTATTAATGTTTGTTTTGTAATAAATTTAAGAAATGCTTCTTCAACCTATTTTTAATGTTTATTTTATAAATTTGTTTTTTGAGAGTTATAGGCAGATCGTTGATATGTTTTGGTATTTGATACTTTATTTGTTGTTTTCCGTAAACATTTTTATAGAACTTTTACAGTACCGTTAGAAGCGCTACGTGTATTTCTGTCATGGTGCCTGATAACTTGTAGATTTTTGTTGAAATAATTTTCTACTAGTAGTAGAAACTTTACCTGATCGTGTATGGTTATTATACATAGAACAATGACAGAAAAGTTCATTGTAGTCTATGCTGGGCCCTAATTTCATTGGTGCTATAGCTTTCAGGCTTCTTACCTGTAGTCAATATAATATAGGATCGAGATGCGTTTTGCTAGTTCTACCATAGGAACTAAGAGCATAATATATTGTCGTTTCCCCTAGTGCTATAAATAAACTTAAAAGTGTGATGTAAGGAATTTTGTATTTTACTATACTTAATTTGGCTAATATTGCTCGTAATTTGTCACATGTACAACTTCATTTGAATCTGTAATCTATTATTAAACCGTTTGCATTTGCTAGTTGATTCGACCTCCTCCTGTGGGTTTAGGTTAAGTTAATATATGACAAAGCCGTCAGAACCGAATTTGTTTAAATTTACTAGTTGGTTCGACCTCCTCCTGTGGGTTTAGGTCAGGTTAGTATATGACAGAGTTGCCGGAATCGAATTTGATTGCATTTGCTAGTTGGTTCGACCTCCTCCTGTGGGTTTATGTTAGGTGAGTGAGTTGCAATTAAATATTCTGCTCACTTTTAATAAATATATTTTATAGCACAAAAAGCACTTAAAGCTATACAAAAACAATTATATTTTGCGATTGTAATTTAATGGAATAAAAAAAAATCTTATCAAGATAATGTAGGGCGCTTCAACTATTCGTAAAACGAAATGTTGTGTTCATTAAAGTCAATGGTTGTGTTATATTATTTAATACATTATAATGGTACTTCTTATACCATTTGTTTATTATGTCACTTAATCATTATATCTAATGTTTCTCTAATGTTTACAGTTTCCTTGTATTTTCTATGGTCTCGGATTTCCCCATACTGTCCCATTAAAGGAAAAACACTGTATAAGGTACTGGGTGTTTACTTTTTGGTTATTTTAATAGTAATCATACCTAAAATCCTTATTGTAATTACTTATGTACATTTTTTATTTAATTGAATTTGTAACGGCTATAAGCAAAGTAATGTTCTGACCTGTAATTAATTAATAACAGTTACCAATAAAATAAGTAATTGGTGTGTGGGTGTAATAAGTAATAACCATAAGACCTAAATTGAATATATCGCACTGCTATTACAATAGTGTTGTAACTCAAAATATGTGAAATTCAAGATTATGCAAATAGTCGTTTGGGTATTGCAATAAACAATTAAAATTATCTATTTTACTCAAAATGAGACAATTTTTTTGTGAGCTATTTCTGGACAAAACAGCTTATTAAAAAATTCGAAATTATTTTTCCCTTTTATTTTTAAATGTAATATTTCGGAAGTAGGAAATTGTTTAAATATCTGTGATAAACTTTAAACTATGTATAAGTTTTAACAATATTTCTCGGCGAGTGAGTAATTCGTCGATTCTGAAAAAATACACTTTTTGAGTTAATGCATTATTGTATTAACAGTGCGATATAGTCTGTTCGTTACAATCTTCTGGTATGATACAAAGTGTAGCGTAACACCACGTCTCTGATACAAAGTTTGATTTTATTAAATCAATAGGTACAGTACATATTCTAGAGGACAAATAGAAACGAGACAGCGCAGCTCGGTAAATCGATACCGGCGAGTTGTGGAAGGTTTTGCCGGTGCGGCAGGCGGGTAGGCGGGCAAGCGAGAAGGCGTCACGGCAGAGCGGCGCGTCTGCGCTCTTGCTTTCGGATCCGTTTCTTTGTCTGTGAACGCGAGGGCTCGCGGAGTACACGGATGCGAGTGAGACGGTCGCGTTTGCAGGCTTGCTCCTTGCTGCGCGTGCCTGTCTGCCGCCATGCGCGCTCTCATGTCTGCAGTGTCCGCTGTCCGCGTATAGCGACTGTCGCCGGCCGCGTATAGCGCGCTTCTGTCTGTCACAATTTTTATAAAAACGCACGAATTTTGTATTGCGCCTTCAATAATATATTATCATTACTTTTGGACTGTCCTCGTAGCGCATGTTGGAAATATTTTTACAATTCGTAAAATTGACGACGTTTAGTACGAAGCATCCGTCACATTTAGATCTGTCGGTGTATGACTTCACGAGGTGGATTCAGGGTAGCTTCGCCTTCGCTACCGCTACTTTTCTGGGTAGAAATTTCCCATTTACGATACGTGGTAGAAAAATTAGGCATGTCGCAATGTAACGAACGACAATCGGCGACTGCAATGGAGCCGGAGGTGGGGCGGCTTGTAGATTCGAGCCAGGCGGACGACCGGCGTTTGATCGCGCTGGTGCGTGCGCGCCGGCTCTTGTACTCGCGAAACAACATGCCGGTGGCCAGCTTCTACGCACAGGTGAAGGCGCTCTGGGAGGAGGTGGCCAACGAAATGGGCTGGAGCGGTAAGTAGCGGCCGTGAGGGCCAAGGCGCCAAAGGGTCGCCCCGCGTGCCGACGCTGACCGAGCTGGCCCGTTGCAGTGGCGGACGCGCGGCGCAAGTGGTCGCACATCCGCAACTCGTACTCGCGGCATCTGCGCAACGAGGTGGCGGGCGCGCGCACGGGCCGCGGCCGGATGGTCTCGCGCTGGTACCTCGCCGACGAACTCGAATTCTTGCGCGACCACATGGCTACTGACACGTTCGTACACTAATCCAGAGCTCCCTTTGTTTAAAAATAAATTAACGGAGGGTCAACACATAGTCTTATTGAGCGCAAGCTGACCGCTTTAGCTGTACCCACAGGCACATATGTCTGTGGCTCTACCTGTATTTTAATCAAATGTGTTGAAGAGTACCTAATGCACAGCCATAGCGTGAAGGTAGGGGAGAGTTGGATGATACCTAGCACCTAAATAATAAGGCCTATAAATAATCTATATAGGTTCGGTTTATAAATTAAATGAAAATTATGTTTTAAGTACGAAATTTATCTGGCTACACGTGGTACAGTATAGCAAAATTTTCGTAAACAAATACAAAAGTCAGTTATTGTCCAAAAAATGGGAAAATTATTTATCAAATCAGATAAAATGTTTTTCTTAGTATGAAAATCGTTCCCCTGAATTACATTTACTACATGATACGAATAAGAATTTTTCAAATTTGGCAGAAACTCTTATGTCAACTACAAATCTCACAGCAAGATAATCCACATATAGAAGGATAAATAATCATCTTTAAGTCAAACAAACTTGTCGTCTTTACTTTCTTAAAGAATTGATAGACTTGGTAACTCTTTGAATGAAAATGTGGAAGCTAACTTAATAAATAAAAATTACTACAGTACTATTACAGTACTGTCAACACGTTCTTTTGATATTTTCTAACTTTATTTTTCCTTTCCAAATTTTTGTTCTTCTTTACTATTTCGAGATTTTAACTGTTTTTCACAAACTTTCCTCTCAACAGATTTTTCTTAGCTTAGTCACCTATCTTTTCCTTCTTCACTTTAACATGCTTGACAAACTTAATAACTTTTATAATTCCGTGCCCAAGTTTGATAATGCCGCGCTCTAGGCGCAGAATTGCCAAAAACGATCGATTCGTTTTCAAACATCAAAGTTATATAAAAAGTAAACTATATATCCGAAATAATTTTGCAGATCAATTCTACGTTATTTTTGCCTTTCAATAGGTCTAAACAATTACTTAAAATGAAAAAGTAATATCTCTTGCAGAAAAATCCCACTAAATTGAATGACAGTGAAAGTTACAGTAGGTCCTTGACATGATTGCTCGGAATGAAGTAACAGCGTATATGCGGGAAGCAATACGTGCCGGGCGAAGTTACTGCGGTATGTAGACTCCAAGTAGCGTGCAGTTGTTGTTGATGTTGTAGTACGTTACCAACTATCCACCGATACACTACGTCAAGGAAAGATTTGCCACCATAGCACCTGTATTTTATACCAATATACTTTTGCCATTTTCTTTGCAAGTCTTTCTCTGCGTGCTACCTCTACAATCCATGTATGGAGACAGGTGGCCCATTCATTTTCATTGTTCGAGCCGGATGTAAACCTGCGACCTATGGATATTTACAAAACTACTTTGGTATATATTTTAGATATATTGACTGTGAACTGGCAACCGGTACTATCTCAATTTTGACAATTTTAATGGATGAAGAAAAAAATCATTTGTATGTATAGCACCTGGTTTATTAAATAAACGACGCAAAAAATTATTTTCATCATCCTGTTAAGTTGCCAAACCGATTGCCAGTTCATAGTCGATATGCGGAATTATCAGATGCGCGGTAATATCCAACTATCCTTTACAGTCGATTTGCGAATCTCATTTCGATTTCACGCATGGATCAATGGTAGAAACATGGTAGGAAAAAAATTTGGAACTTGCTCTGTTAGGATAAGTATGTATATATAGATGCTGTTTATGCAGGCGGGCAGCGTCGTACACATCGTTCTCCCCCTCGATGCTGGAATTGGACATGAGCGAACAACGCGCCGAGTCGCGCGAATCGCAGTCATTCGCGAACGCGTGGTTCGCGCTGGGCGCGGGGGAGGGCGCGACGAAGTCGGAGCCACAGACGGAGGGCGAGTGCACTCCTGGAGAGGACAGTTCGAGCTCGCAGGCGTTCCGCGCAGACGAGAACTCCTCTTTCTTCCAATTCTTCCGCGGGCTCTACGAGGAGTATTGCGATCTCACCTCACGACGGCGCCGCCTCTTCAAGCGCCAGTGCCTGCACTTCCTGCACGAACTGCTCGACGAGCAGGAACGCGAGCGCGCTCCGCCCGTTGCCGACGAGCCCGCGATTCTGCCCAACGACTAATCACTTAAGCCGTTATCGTGCCAAAATTTCAATCTTCACATTGCGCGGGCTTCGTATAAGAAATGAAACGATCGATTAGGAACTGTTCCGATCTGTATTACACAGTAGTAGCGTAACTGATTATGTTATGTGACACGGTTGCATGTAAAAAATAGTTTATAAAAGCCAATTACATTAACATCTATACGTGGCAACATGGAACAGACGCCAAGCGTGTGAAGTGACACCGTCCGCTGGTTTCTCTGCACGCCTGCCGGAGCCAATGCGCGAGGGCCCGGTGCGGTGGTGGAGTGTTGGCGCCCACCGCATCGATCGGGGGTCGCCCGACCTTGGCCCTGAGCCGAGCACGCACACCCCGCGCCGCCCGCCCCCCGCCGCCGCACCGCTCGCGGGTTGCATCGATCCGTCAACTGCTCTTTGAGAGTTCATTTTTGTGAAATAAGGTGCGTCAGGTATTCACGATGAATCAATAGTCAAACTGTTGGTTTTCCTTTTCATGTGGCTTGTTTCTGTGTATTTAAAATAATTGTTCTTTTATTTGAAATTAATGACGAAGAATATAAGCATTAAAGATTCTGCCTTTTGGAACTTACTGGATTACCGATTTTGCCTTGCGAAATGACTCCACGTAGACAACCACAAATTACACCCAAACTCACGAGAGAGTTTTTTTGTTTTTTTTTTAGTTATTTAGGTATAAGTACTAAATACTAATTACTAATTACTATTTTAGTTTAGGAACGGTGCTCAGCTTCACCGTGCCAGCAGTTGTCACCTGTATTATGTAGGTACCTAAATGTACTTTGTCTTGCAGACTCCAGTATGCGAGATTCTTGCTTTTCGCTGATTACTTTACATTTTTGTTGTTTTTATAAGTACCTATTTATGTACAGTCAACGGCAGGTCAACCTATGACATTTAATTCTATGGGTACTCGAAGACAATAGTCGACATACGTCATGAAAATACAAGATGACTGTCGGTAGTGTTGCCGTGCATATTTTGACTAAGTTATCGACTAAGACGAACATAATACGATCTGAGACGCCGAGATTGTACGACTTACGTAATAAACTATTGTGTAAAATTGTATTTTGGGCTATGCATTCGGCCTTCGCCTCGTTATTATAGTGAGCACGGGTCGGTTAAGGAGGCAGCATCGTTGTCGTGCCGACTTCAGTGAACGGATAATGTCAGAAAACCTGGTAGATGTGCACGTGCTCATCGGGAACAGGCTGGTCATGCCTAGCCGACAAACCGTTATAAAGTCGTACTGGGTGATTAAAATCACACGACATAAAAAAGAACAGTTAGTTTAGTTTAGAATTTTGTTCTTTTTGTTTACTACATTATACCGAAAATTAACTGAATTTTAACTAAAAGGTGAGATGGAGGTCAAACGCACCCTTACATTTAATTATAAATAATATAATAATAAATTTATTTACCGTAGCTTACAATTAACAATCACATATTTGAACTACGATCACCACACTAGGCTACGTCTGTCTCATGGGAAGCAAAGCAGGTAAGATTAACCGAATAGGTAAGAAAGCGGCTTATAGCAACAAGAATTAAGTTAAAAGGGAGTCAAATACAAAAAATAACAAAAGTAAATGCTTATTTGAAAAACAATAACTAATCACCAAAGACATAACTAATATTAAGTTACTTACATAATCTAACAATAGGTATATTACACTTTGCGTGCGTGCGTGCGTGCGCGTGCGCGCGTATGTGTCTGAATACAAAATAAAAAAAGGACTTCTTTCTATAACAATAAGCAGTAAAGTAAATAATTCTTATGTTTAGGTATGCACATAAAACACTAAACATAGGTATACGCGTGAACATTTCGCCCTCCAAGGACACAATGACGAACATTGTCCTTGAGTTCCTGGGCAATATAAAACGCTAACTTAAACTCATTTAACACAACGGTATGTGGAAGTTGCCACATACGTGGACTCCACGCCGAGCGTTAAATCTCGCGTAAAGTTAAATATACACCATATAATACGAGTATACATATGTATAATATTACGAGGCCTGTACTCCACCTACGATGGGGTCGGGCTCGACCTGCGGCGCGTGGTCGGTTTCAGTTTACGGGGTACGCTCATGCTCTTCCGTGGCACAGCAGTTAGTACTATGGGCGTTTGATGAGGAGGTCGATTCCCAATTTATGCCAATTTTAGAAACGAACATTTCTAAGTTGGTTTTGGTCTGAGTATTCTGGGTTATCGTTGATTTGGTATTCATAGTACCTGCATAGTACAGAAAATTCGGCAGTAGTCTGACATTTTTTCCCCCTAAATGCTTCTCTTTGGCATAGCTTTCAAGAGAATGAATTCTAACATAGAGACGGTTGAGATACAACAACGCTATAATATCTCCATTTGATGGCGTGCGAACGCTTCGGGCTTCGCCCTCCGCGGACCTCGGCCTCCGGTCTCGGCACTTATGGCTTTGTTTTAAAAAAATTTAAATAGCTCTTTAATGGCGGCCATAGCCGAAGATTGCAAAAATATATTTTGACCACTAATTATTATCAAACAATCTTAGAAATCTTTTCGTGCCAATTTTCAGTCCGAGCAAAGCAAGTTTTTTCAAGAGCCATTTACATAAAAAATTACGGCTATATCGAAAAACGGCAGAAACAAAATTTTTACCCCAAATTGTGATTGAAGCCATGCCATTTTCAGTCCAATTAGAAGAAATTTTTATTTACCGCCCAAAAAGTTTGTACGGCAGCCATATTGAAAAATGGCGAAACATAAATTTTGACCGCTAATTATTATTAAACACTCATAGAGACACCGACATGTCCACTTTCAATCGAATTAGAGCAAATTTTTATGTGGCGCTAAAAAAGTTTGTATGGCAGCCATATTGAAAAAAGGCGAAAAACAAATTTCGACCGCAAATTATTATCAAACACCTATAGAGATCCCCATATATCGATTTTCAGTTGAATAAGAGCTAATTTTCATTAGTTGTTGAATGGCGGCCATATTAAAAAATGGCGTAAAACCATTTTTGATCGCAAATTATTATCAAGCACTCCTAGAAACCCACACATACCAATTTTCAAAGGGATCAGAGCATTTTTTTTTCTGCCGCCAACGAACGCTTCTATGGCGGCCATACTTGAAAATGGCGAAAAACCAATTTTGAGCACAAAATATTATCCGGCACTTTCTATAGAGGCCTCTCCATGCTAATTTTCAGCCGAATCAGAGCAAGTCCATTTCGGCAGCCACTTTTGACGAAAAAATCGCTTATAGGACACCCATATTAAAAAATTGGCGAAAAGAAACTTTCGACCCCAAAATATGGTTAAAGACCCGCATATAAGTTTTCAGCCGGATCGAAGCATGTTTTTCTTCGGCCGCCATTTTGAATTCGCCATCTTGTTTTTTTAACCCAAGCAGTTAACCACTATTAATCTCTATGACATTCCTTCAAGCACCTCCTACCTATCTCTAATAGTTTCCGTGATAGGAGACTTTGAAATTTGTATGGCGGCCATCTTATTTACTTGAATTTCGAACATTTTTTACTTTCGGCGGAAATTGACCAGGGTGTACCTCCGTGGGAGTTGAACTTCATATTTCAGTAGAGAATTCTCTTTGTTTGACTTTGAGTGGGAGTGGCGGCCATTTTGTTCTGCGAATTTTGATTTTTTTTTTACTCCCGGTAGAAACTACCCAGGGTGTGGAGTATCATTTCTTTGGAGACCTTAGGGCTAAGACGTATACTATGGCCGGGCAGCTGGGGTCCTACCTGATGCGGAGCACTTTTGGAAGGTTTTGGTACTTTCTGATACTCACCAAATCCACCAAACCATTATTCGCATACACCACTCTGATACCCCCGCTCTTCTTCTGGGGAAAAATGCTGGTCAAAAAAACCGAAAATTCATTGTATGGCGGCCATCTTGGAAAATAGCGGAATTAAAATTTCGATTGCAGATCCATACTATGAACCTCCATACACGGTCGGATGTCAAATTTCAGTCGGATTGGAGCACTTTTACTTCGGGCCACTATTTTGAGTCCGCCATCTTGAAAATTTTTTTTACCTGCAGTTGGCTCGTACTATTCTTTACGACATTTTTTGAGCGCTTCTCATCTATCTCCAATACTCGCCGAGATGTAGACCTCGGAACGTTGTGGACTGTTGAAAATGTATGGCGGCCATATTGGAAAATGGCGGAATCAAGAACTTAACCACAAATTCGTATTAAGGGTTTCCAGACATAGCCTTCCTATAAAATTTCAGCCGGATCGGAGCACCTTTTTGTCGGGCCGCCATCTTGAATCGCCCATTTTGAAAAAATAACTTCGAATGCCAATTGGCTCCTATCGCTTTATACTATATTAGTTTGAACACTAACTACCTATCTCCAATAGTTTCCGAGATACCGACCCCCGAAGTTTGTATGGCGGCCATTTTGTTTTTCGAATTGTGATTTTTTCTACTCCCGGTAGAAACTGCCCAGGGTGTGGATAAAGATTTGTTTGGACACTTTGAGCCAAGACGCATACTTTGGCCTCTGCATCTGGGCATCTGGGGTCCTACCTGATGCGGCAGACTTTTCCAAGATTACGGTACCATTTGCTACTCCTCATACCCATCCGACCATAATTCCCCTACATCATTTTTACCTAACCGCACTTCTTCTGGGAGAAAAATGATGCCAAAGGGCAGAAAATTCACATGTATGGCGGCCACCTTGGAAAATGGCCGAATCAAAATTTTAACCCCAGTTTCCTATTTTCGATTCGATCCAATACCACAATACCAGGCTTATTCGCAAGAATAGTCCTCTCCGTGATAATGGATCGATCCCAATAGATTTTGGTGCGGTCATTGACTTACAAAAGTCAATGGGTGCGGTCATCTTATTATCATTAATATTATAAGTAATTATGTTCAGGAACTAGAACCAATGGTTCTCCTACTAAAAATAACCTGGCGTTAAAGGAGTCGGGTCATTTCTGTTTTCTGTGATGTGCGAGAGGTCTCAATTTGGGATAACACCGTAGTCATTTCTTCAAACGTCATGTCGTGTCGCCTGCCACTCCTTTTAGATGATATTTTGTAGATTTCATGACAGCCTCCCAAAACCGCCGAAATTTAGTGAATGTGGTGGAGTGCCAACATATGCCGCTGGATGCGAGTTGTTCTGCTATTTCCGTTGCCATACTGTACCCAATTCAATACCCTAGTTCCTATCTTACTTAGTAGCGTAGAAAATTAAACTAAGAAATCAGAAAATTGAAATAATTATAATATAAAAAG